CCTCTTGGGGGTCTCTTGGGGCCTCCTGGGGGCCTTTTGGGGCGGAAAGCTGTTTTTTTCGCTTCGTGGTCTCCCTCTTGGGCCCCTCTTGGGCTGGCCTTGGGGCTCTCTTGGGGCCTTCTTGGGCTGTCTTGAGGCTCTTTTGGGCCGTCTTGGGGTCCTCTTGGGCCGTCTTGGGCCTGCTTGGGCTGTCTTGGAGGCCTCTTGGGCCGTCTTGGGGCGGTCTTGGGGGCCTCTTGGGCCGTCTTCGAGCGTCGGAAGCCAGAAAAGGTGAGAAAGCCAAAAACATTCAAAAAACCAATGAGAATCAACGGTTCTCGCCTTTTGGGGCCTCTTGGGAGGCCTCTTGGAAGCCTCTTGGGGCGTCTTGGAGGCATCTTGGGGCGTCTGGAGGCCATTTTGAGCGTCTTCGAACGATTTTTCGGCGTCTCGGGGCCCTCGTGGGGTGTCTGGGAGGCTTCTTGGGGCCTTCTTGGCCCGTCTTTGGGCCCTCTTGGGCCCGGAAAAGGCCCGTGACGCGCTCGTGGTGGGCACCCCCCCCCCTCCAAATCGACCGGACCGGGTTCCCGGGGGAGGGGTTTGGGGAGGGGGAAGCATCTCACACGCCGATGATCCCCAAGTACGACTAGAAAGATGCGGGGGAGAGGCTTTGCAGGGCGTGCGCCCGCAACGAGAAGGGTGGGCGGAACGAGAAGGCGGATGCAGAGAATCGCAAGCGGAAAGCAGAGGCGGACGCGAAGTCGCTGACGTGCGCGGCGTGCAAAGGCGCGTTCTCGGACACGAAACATTTGAAGCAGAAGCAAGTGGAACATCATCGAGCGGCGAAAGGAGCTAAAGTGGTGTGCAGAAGCTGCGAGGAGCTCGGGTTCACAGCGCGCAGTTGCCAGGCTTATCAGTGCAGCGGCGCGTGCAAGAGAGGACTACCAAAGTCGGCGTTCCCCGACCCGCACAATGTCCCGCGCGACGCAAAGAAGGGCACCCTAAAGTGCAAGACGTGCAAATGATGCCCAATCGGTTGCGCGTACTGGGCAGAAAAGGGAGGACGGGAAGAGGAGGATGGGGGGTGAGGCGGAAAATGGGGGGGAGAAGTCTGTGGACGATGATTTGATTTTGTTGCGCACTCGCTGGGTACTGCTTGACAGTGCTGCATTTCTCGTGCAAAGTCCCCCCTGGTAGGGGGGGCAGGCCCGACCTGAAAACGGGTGCCCCTGTTTTGGGGCTTGGGGGGCACGCTGCCCCCCCGTCGCCCGTCGTGTCCCGTGCCCGGACAGGTGTTCACGTACGGCTTCGTGGCCACGGGCTGGCTGCCCACGGACGAGAAGCCCCTGTTCAGCTCCACCGGGCGGGGCGGGGCGCTGGTGGCTCGCAGCAGCGGCAGCGCAAGCAGTGGCGAAGCGTCCTGGCTCGCCTGCTGGGCCGACCGAGGAGTGTTCTGAGAGCCTTCTCGGCGGTTTTTCAGCGAAGTGTTTTCAGGACATTTCTGGCCGGGACTGTATTGTTTCAACACATCGGGCTTCTGTTCTAAGAGCCCTGGTTTTGGTCAGAGAAAATTGTTGGGTTCTACGAACATTTCGTCGTATGCCTATAGGAATGCCGGGGCGGTCTGTTTCTGCGAGTGGCTTGCAACAGCGGCAGCAGGAGGGAGTGGATGAGCAGGAGAAACGGATGGCGGTTGTGATGATGACGACGATGCCACTGCCGCTGCTGCGACGGAAATCGCCGTCCGCTCTCGAGGCCGAGCGTCACGGCGACAAGCACGAGTGTTGGCTCACCAGGTCAGGTGACATCTCGCAGATTGCGTTTGGTGGAAGTCACACTGCTCTGACAGGCTGGTTTTGTCCAGATGCTGCCGCTATCCCTTGCTCGTCGTAGGCTCGACAGCAAGAAATATATCCACAGTTTTTCGAGGCGTTTTTTTGTGCGATGTGATTCGGATTTTAGGAAGAACTCGCGATACTTGGCGCGTGGATCCCGAACAACGGCCGGGACTTTTGTGGGAGACCAGAGATCAAATCTTTTGGGACCGTCTAAGACGGGAGCGACAGGAAATCAGGATATCCCAACCTTCGGGCCAGGAACGTGTTATGGCGGGGCCCGTTTTGCGGCGATTCGGAGACCTTAGCATTCACACCAGGTCCGTGCATGGCCACAGAAGTATGGGCAGGACAGGGGATTCGGAAATTCGTGCCAGGAGTTTGCCCCGGACCGTCTGTCTGGCATCGCTCGGACGTGTGCACTTTTTCTCGGCGGGGACCATCGAGGACCGTCCTGGACCATCGAGCAAAGAAAACGCGCACGAAGCCGACAAATGCGCGGGAAACGAGCGTCCGAGCGACGGCAGGTATGAGAGCGGCAGCATCCCAACAGTCGGGCCCAGGTGTCTGGCGGCGTTCAGAGCCGACAGCCAGGCACCGACTTTTGTCGGGAGCCTTGAGATGGGGGTCAATGCAAACGGGGGTCAGCCAGGGTGCCAGATCCTGCAGGATCCTGCGAGGACCCCCTCTGGCTGACCCGGGTCAGCGAGCCGCTCGTGGCCGCGAGGCGGCCGCGCCTGTTGGCTGACCCGGGCTTGCCAAGACCTGCGTTGCAGCTTTTGTTTCTCTCCCTGCAGTGCAGTTCTTGGTTTCCTGCTGACCCGGGTCTGGATTGACCCGGGTCCGAAGATCCCCGACTTCTGCCCCAGACTTGCCGGCGCGAGCGGAGACCTCAGCACGCACGGCGGGGTCACCCACGGCCGACCGGGCAGTCTGATGCTGCCAGCGCAGGGGCCCCAGAGGGTGGTACTACAGTCGGGGCGTTGACCTAAGCAACCCTAAATAAGGAACGAGGCCCCTTTTTTCCATGGGTCAAACTTTGATCTCCCGTCGAAGACAGAAGGGAAACCTGAGGCAAGCTGTGAAACACTTAAGGGACACGGAGCCCCTCCCCAACGAAAAGGGTTCTTTCTTCAGCGACCCGACTGTAGTTTGGCTCTTTCAGTTCCGCTGCCTGCCTACCTTCTGCCCTCCAACAATTGCTCCCTGGCCTCAGCTCATCACCCCCACTCTATGCCGTCTGGTCTGCACTCTCCACTCTCGACCCTCAAGTCCTACTTGGTTCGTCTGCTGGGTCCGTTCTGGCTCAAGCCAGGGAGCCAGAGAGTGCTCCGCAGCGCTGTTTCGGGCCGCCCCCGACATGCGGAGGACGTCGGAAGACGCTGTTGAGCGTCGACCCGACGTCGTGCCCTCCGCTGCATCCCGCGGCGACTCCGCCAACCGGATGCAGCCGTCGCTGCGCCAGGCCCTGGCTTCTTTCCCGAGCCCCGCCGCCACGCCCGGCGCGGCGGCCGCCGAGGCCCTGCGCGCCCCGCCCCCGCACGCCGCCCCCGGAGGGCCCGCCCGCACCGCCCGCCCGCCCGCGCTGGGCCCGCTGCTGGGGCACACGCCGCGCGAGCAGCTGCAGGCCATCCTCGCGAGCCTGCGCGAGCGCCAGCTCCAGGCCGGAGAGGGGCCGTCTGGCAGGGCCTCCCAGATGGGGGTCCGAGCAGATGGGGCCGGAGCATCGCGCCGCACCGCAGGGGCATCGCCGGTGCGGCTCGGTGTGGGGGGCCCGAGGTGCTTCACGCCGACGTCGTTGGCTGGTGCATCGCCGATGGATCGCCGATGTGTCGGCGATGCGGCGCGATCCTCCGACCCCATCTACTCGGATCCCATCTGGGAGGCCTTCAGAAGAGGTGCTGATACCGCCACCCCTGGTATCATTTCCCCCTCTGTGGGCTTCTCGGGAGGCCCTCGTCGCCACGGCTGGGTTCGCCTCGAAATCCTGGTCAGAACGCAGCCCAGGAAGAGGTCCGGGGAGTAGCGGTACTGGTACCTTGTGGATTCCCCATCAAGGGCCCCGTGCGCTCGGCCCACCCCGCGAGCCAGCAGCCGAGGCGCGCCGGCATCGTGGCCGGCAGCACGGTCGCGTACGCGGCGAAGGGCATCAGCAATGAGCGCAGCCAGGACGGCGGCGACTCCTCGGGCCAGACTTCGCCTCGTTCCTCTGGCTCGTGCAGCAGCCTGGCTGGCAGCTTCCCTGGCCGGTTGGGGGCTGCCATCGCTTGCCCCGAGGCAGCCGCCCCAGAGGGCTTCTCCAGCCTGGGCGCCAGGCTGCACGAGCTGGGCCGCTGCACGCCGTGCAAGTTCCTCCGCGCCCTCCGCGGGTGCCGCCTCGGCCTGATGTGCAAGTTGTGCCACGAGCCTTAAGTCGGGCCTGTCATTCTACAGGGGGAATATTCAAAAATAGTTTAAAACATAGTCTGGGAACGATTTTTCGATTTTTTTTTTAAATACCATTTTGGAGCATTTGTTTAGTACTTCTTATTTTTCCTCGACAATCCCCGACTTAACACGAGCCGCACAAGGAACTCTCGAGGTCTGCGGTGCGGAAGGCGGGTCGCGTCAAGGCCATGGAGTGCCGCGCCATGGTCGAGGAGGCGGTGGCCGCGAAGGCGGCGATGCCCGGCGGCGTGCCCGAGACGAGCGCGCTGGACTGCCAGCAGGCAGCGGCAGCTCCTCGGCTGCTCGACAGCTTCAACTGTGCCCCTGGCCTCGGGCAGCCCGGTGTCGACGTCTGAGCCGGAGGCGGGGGCCAGCTCCAGCCACGGCAGCAGCGAAGGGCCGTCCTTCCACTGCCAGGGTTTGTCCTGTTGAAGTTGCTCGGCGTCGCTCGGACCTGTGAATTTTTCCTTCGGCGAGGACCATTGAGAAGCATCCTTGATCAGTTGGCGAAAAAACCGCACACGAAACCGAACAAAGCACAGGGAAGGGACGTCCGAGCGATGACCAAGTTGGGGATGCCTGTCGGCACTTCGTAGCCGCGGCGTGCCTGGAGCAGCCCTCGCTGGCGCTCGAGGCGCGCACTGCGCAGCCCAGCTGGCTGCTGGCGCTTGGCATCGCTCGGACGTGTGCATGTTTCCTTCGGCGAGGGAGGACCATCGAGGAGCATTTTTAGGGGAACAAAACAAATACATAAACGTAGAAACTCGGAGGCCCGCGCGGATTTCTCGGATCCGCGCTGGAGCCCCCTGGCGGCGCCTCCGGCGCCGCCCCTGGCGCGCTCCGCGCGCCAGGGAGGGGGGGTCTGGCGCCGATCCGAGGAATCCGCGCGGGCCTCCGAGTTTCTATGCTCATGCCATTCTTCGTTCCCCTGGTGCTTGGCCATGTGGCAGAAGCCACGCACGATCCCGAAAGAAGCACAGGGAAGGGGCGTCCGAGCGATGGCCGGGGCACCGCGAGCCTCTTGACGGGGCCCGGCGGCCCAAGGGAGAGCCAGCCCGTGCGGGCGCGGCGCGCTCCTGCAGGATCGCGGCAGCACCGGCGCGCCGCTCGGCGCGCCCGCCCCGCTGGGAGAGGAGGGGAGGAGAGCTCGGCATCGCTCGGACGTGTGCATTTTCCCTTCGGCGAGGACCATCGAGGAGCATCCTCGATCCTTTGGCCAAAAAGCCACGCACGAAGCCGAACAAAAACACGGGGAAGGGACGTCCGAGCGATGGCGAGAGAGGACCTCGGGCCGGACGAGCGGGGGGGGGCTTGGGAAAGGGGGGCTTAGGAGATCGTTGCCTGCAGCTGGTTTCGGCCTCACCGAGGGGCCCATGCCTCGAGACGTGGCCGCCTCCGGCGCCGGGAAGGTCAGCTGCGTGAGCTGATTCTCAGACCCCCCCCTTTGCTATCCCCCCCTTTCGCCCGACCCGAGAGGAGGGAGAAAGAGCCAGAGTTGTCACCACCCACCAAACCACCCCAACCCAAACCGAAGGCCTCAATTTGCCCTCCATTTCCAGTGGGGGGGGGGTCGGGGAGCATCGAAAAAACACGTATGGAACCCTTGCCCCCCCCCCAAACCCGAAATTCGGGCCTTCGGGTTGGGTTGGGGTGGTGTGGTAGGTAGTCGAGTTGGAGGAGGACGCCGAGTTCGGGCTGGCTGGAGGCTGTGCCACCGAGCGAGCCTCTGGCCCACGGGGCTCTCCCGGCGCGCGCAGCGGTGCAGCACTTTTTTTGCCGAGCGTCGTGGGCGCCGAGGC